CTTATAAAAGTTCCAAAGACTCCCTATTTCAACCCTAAGATTTTCTAATAACATGTGATGAAAGGAGTAAATTAAATCAGATTCAAATGTGTGTGAGAAAAATGGTATAGGTAGGAAGCAGTCATTTTAAATCACACGTCTTCCCTTCAGATTCTGGTATGTGTCTATTTGGGAATCCTGTATTAAATGAAGGGTGTCAAAAAAGCAGTATTTAATCTTCTTCTGAAATAGCCCTCAGTTTTGTTAGGAAGATGGAAATACATATATATCTACAACAGAATACTGACTAGATATTGGCTAGAATATCCTCAAAACATAAAAGGGAGAGCTGACAAAATTTTCCTCAGAGAAAGGTAGTAAGAAGATCAGAAAAGATCAAAATTGTTACAATGGGGTTTTGAGAGAAGAATCATGAGATCAAAGAGAAGATACATTAATCAGGGGGATAAGAATGTGTAAAGTTAAGGAAGCACATAGTATATTGTAAGAACAGGATATAGTTTTTATGTAGGTAAAGCTTGCCAATAGAGGGATGCTTTGGGAAATAAAAAGAATAGAGAATGACAGGTCATGAAGGACTTTGTATGAATTGTAAAGGAATTTGGTTTTTAACTTACCTGCCTGTAGTGGATTTAAAATAGAGAGGAGTAGTAGTTAGATCAGGTCATACAGTATAGTAGCTAAAACAAAAGGATTCTAAAATAAAGACTGCCTGATGCTACATATTCAATAAATTCCTGTTGAAAGAAACAGGTTCGGGCCCTCCCTGGTGGCACAACGGGTTAAAGCACAGCACTATGAAGTTACCACAGCCACTGCAACATGAATTCGATCCCTGGCCAGGCAGGTGACATGTATGATGTGGCAAACCACTCCTGACTCACCTGCTGCTCCCCTCAGCAGTGTATTTCAGTAGATCTGCCTGTTCTGCTCCCCACTCTGTCTCTGGTGAATCTTCTTACCCCTGCACCTCTAGCCTGTACCCCAGTTCTGCATGCATAAGCAAATAAATTTCTTAAAAAAAAAAAAAAAAAAAAAGGTTTGACCCTTAGTTCTATACCACTTTTTAGTTTTCTGATTTTGGTCAAGTTACTGGCCTCCTGGGTAAGTTTGCTTACATGTAAAATTATACATATAATAACGGTATTAAATTCTGAGAGTTCTGTCAGAATTAAGTGACAGAAGCCCAGCACATAGTCAGTGTTCAGTATGTGCCAGCTTTTTTACTGTTACTGTTTAACATGGGATTAAAAAAAATTATTTTTAGAATGGACTGGAATGAACTAGAAACAAAAAGACTAGTTAGTGCACTCTAAAGGAGAATACAGGCTTTAGTTTCAGACATTTGTGTTGTGTCCCAGTGCTTTGCTGTCTAGCTGTGCAGACTTATTAAACTTTTGGGATCTCAGTAATCCTTAAACAATGATAATAATTTTACATATCTCTTATGATGATAGTAAGGATTAAATGAGACAATATATGCAATATGACCTGTTTAGAAATCTGTAACAGCAAAAGTTTCAATGTAATATTTAATGTATAATAGTAGGATGAGGACGAACAGTACTAATTCTTTAAAAATACTGTCTACGGGGCCTTCCCCGGTGGCACAGTGGGTTAAAGCACAGCACTAAGGAGCTAAAGCCATTTCAGAATGAGTTCAATCCCCATGTGGGAGGTAACCCACATGGCGCAGCAGAACTCTCCTGACCGGCCTGCTGCTCACCTTAGCAGTGTACTTTGTCAGTCAGCCTGTTCTGCTCCCCACTCTGTCTCTGGTGAATCCTCTCACTGCCCCTGCACCTCTGGCCAATACCCCAGTTCTGTATGCATAAATAAATAAATATCAAAAAAAAAATGTCTAAGAAAAAGAAGCCTATGGACAGTTATAAGAAAGCAAAACAAAAATATTTTAAGTAAGAGAAATGTGAATATATACAGTAAGGATCAGAGGTGACAGGAAAGATGTTATAAACAATACAGGGTAAACAGAGATAACTGATGGAACAAGATTTAGAAATTGACAAAGAATGCAAACTGGTGGACAAACTGCTCATAGACTTGTGGGAAAGACAACTACTTCTCTAAGACAAATGAAGAAGACAGAAATATTTGCATAAGATAAGAGAAAATTGAGGGAGCTGAGGTCCACTGATCTTATCTATAAAACAGAAGTAAAGTAGTTTGAAGTAGGGTAGAAGCCTTGAAGGGATAGGTAAAAGAATAGTTATCAATAAGGGGATAGTAATTTGAAGTGTCAACACTGGAAGTTGAAGTTTTATGGGCCCAGTTGAGGTTAGAGACTAAAATCTGTAGTAATTAAGTATAACTTCAGCAACATTCAGCATACTGGAGAAGATAAATGGTAAGACCGATTCATTGTTGGGAATTTTCATAACAGGTGTGATAGAAACAAGGCTGAGGAATACCCTAGAGACACCAATAAGGAAATGGTTCAGGGTAATAATACTGGTTTTACTTAAAAAGATGAAAGTAGAATTTGTCAGGGGCAGTGGCATAAAAAATATCTATGAATCAAGAAAATGAAAATGATGAAAAACTTATATTTGTAGTAATATAGAAGCAAAAGAGCTAGAGGAATAACAAAAAACATAAGCCATCATTAACTGTGTTGCTGTATGTACATGGCATTAATCTAAGTTCTTTATGTAATAAACTCATTAAGGAGAATAAGAGATTTGGTGGAAGTGAAATATAGTAACACAATTCACATCTCACATTGTGTAGCATTTTAACATCCACTGATCCTTTAACTCCAATGTTATTTCCAGTCTATTAAACCTCTACCTTTTTAATGGCTCTCATTCCCTCGATGTTCTTTCTCCCTTCTTTCTCAAGGGTAAGAGAATATCACTCTGCTCTCAACAGCACTGATTCCTTAACTAGCTGAAAGTGTTTGATAAAAGCGTTTAGTGTTCCCTGGTCTTATTTTAATCTCTCAGGGGAGAGTTAAACTTCTCACAACAGGGGGGAATGAGGGAATTCAAGGAATATGAGAAATTATATGGCTATTGTGTTTGTTATAATCATTAGCATAAAACAAACTTTTAAAGTTTGAAATAGGTAAACTGATATGAACAGAAAGAGAACAGAACTGACAGCAGATTTCATTAAGCATCCTTAACTTTATATTAGGTGAGTTATTTAATTAATCTAATTAACAATAATTTCCTAATTAATCTGTAAAATTTATGAGGCTGGATTACAGAGTAGTTTTCAAATCTTTTTTAAAATCGTAAATTCCAAAGGACATATTACTCACAATTTCCAAAACAATAAGGCTTTGTATTTTCTCCTAAGCAATTCTGCAAAGCTCTAGCTCCAAGGAACATAAACTGAATATTATATCATTTTAGCTCTAGATAATCTACAGAATATCCTACAATTCTAAAATATCCATGAATCTTTCTATCTTGAAAAGAATAGAAACCATACAACTTAGTTCCAAGAATGCCACAGAAAAGAAATCCGAGTGGCATTTCACATAAAATGCTGGGCACAAACATGTCAGCTTAAAATAACAATTTATATATATAAATGTTTCCTATAAATAAATATTCTACAAATATAAGGCATAAAAGAAAAAACACATAAAAAATATAATGTACTACATAAACAGGAGTTTTCACAATAAGGTATGTGTCTCTACAGAACAGGAGTTTATAACCAAATTATTAACATGCTCAGTTACCTAGATAGTCACAGTGTGAGAGACACATAGCTTTGCTCAGCAGTGTAGTGTCTTAAAAATTTCAAAGAAAGAATTACTCATAGGAAGAGTATGTTTGATATCACGGAGGATACAAATGCAACTTAAAAATGACCAATTAACATTTATCAGTGTTTAAAGTTTTCTAAGCTTGTAATTTAGGTAATTTAAACTACCATCTCTCTTCTGTTTTCATCATCTGCTGTTTCCTCCTCTGTGTCACTCACTATCATTTTATGCTTTCAAATTATCATAAATGAAATCTATTCAGAACAACACTGAAGGCCTAGTATTAGTACTGAAATTTATTTACTCTGGTACTATTTTCTAAAATATAAAATAATGCCAAAACAACTACTTCAAAATTCTATTTTAAATATAAAGGTATATTATATAATAACATGACTATAAGAAATCTTTAATTCAGAGATGTTCCCTCTAACAATAATTCCCTTTCTTATGTTTTATTGGCACATATCACTCATCAAAATTCCTATAATTACTTTAAATAGCCTCTGAAATAAAAGAAAATGACATTGAACCAATTAATTCCCTATTACCTAACATATTCTTTCATTATGTTCAAATTAATAGTCACACATCAAAGCCTAAGGCTAGAGAAAGAAGTTCTATCAACGAGTGATTAAAATATATAGGCAATGAATAACTATATTTCAACCCCATTTTAGAGATGGTGAAACAAATATCCAGTAGTATGGTTTTAGAACTTTAGAACCCTCTGATAGAGGGTTTAAAATCTAAATAAAGTTATTATCATGGATTTTAATCTACTGTAGACCAAGTTAACTTCTTCTTGGCTTTAGAGCTAGTTTACACTCCAGCCACTAACATCATTAATGAAAGTCATAGAGACACTTGGAGGACTCAATGACTGAGCATAACAGCTCATTTCAAATCCAGTTCTGATAATATAACCTGGAAGGGTGAGTAAGTAGAATCACGTTAGTGGCTAGATGGTACGTTATTAAAGAAAGTGCATTTCAGTATTAGATCTCATTTGGTTGTCCATCTTCAGGATGATATAATCTACATATTTTCAAATCACTGCAAATGAAAGCTTCTACAGCAAATATTCACCAATACCTTATAGCAGACTTACATATGACATTGGATAAGAAATTAAAAGACAGCCAGGTTCTGCTTTTATTTTGTTATGAAATTTGTCCAAGTGGTTCTAAAAAAATAAAACTTACATTCAAAGTGAACTATATGCATAATGAAATTTCAAGTAAAGAGTTTCTCATCTTACCCTGTCTAGCTCCAGTGTAAACTTCTGGTCCCATGACTGATTGGAAATGGGTTTCCAGCTAGTCTGACCAACCACAGTATTATCTAGCTTCAAAACTGCACACACATCATCTGTAATTACAATTCACAAACTTGCTTAAATATTTATAAACTTTTAAAGAAGAAATATCATTGTTTAAGGGCAACAAAAATCATGTGATCCTTTGAAAATAAGGTAATTAAAATTCAAAGCATTTGAATTTTATGTGGTTAGTTCTATATCTACATTACAGTTCCACTAAACTCTCCCAAATTGTGCTATGCATTTGACAAAAACAATTAACTCATTTTATTTACATTAGAATGTTACTGAAAGGACTGAATAGGTAACAGTAGTCATACTGCTTATATATTAATAGTAGCCATGCAGTTTTTTCTTCTATATTTGCTACCATAAGCAGTTTATTTGTAAACTTAAACAGTTCTTTAATCTGAAACTTTTATGTCTCCTACATATATTAAAACAGAGACATACCGAACTAGTCACGTATCCCCACTATCAAGTTATACATTGTATCACAGTTTATAATTATACTTTCAGGTGTCTCCAAAATATTTCATCAACCTCGGCATTTTACTCTTTCTACTCTCCTCACTCCCCCATTTCACTTACTACTTGGCTACTATTACAAGCATACATGTTTGGTTCAACATTTAAAAATGTCACTATACCATTAAAAGAAGCAAGGTGTAATACTATAAGGTGACATCTCAAAATATCTGTAAACTTTCAACTTGATACAAAGAGTACAGCTCAATATTTCATTTTTCTAGAAGAATAAATACCATATCATTCCGATTTCTATTACATTTTCAATAAAGAAAACTTGTGTTGTCTTATATTATATTGCCTTTTTTGTTTTTCATATTTTTAAACTGTTAGAAAAAAATCTTAATTTAAAAATTTTTAATCCATCTGACTCTCCTCACTCTTCACAAAGTCCTTTTTATAGATGCTCTGTGATATGATTTTTTAAAAAATTGGTTACTCAACTGGATAAGTCATCGGTTTTTAGAAGATTTCGACTACTTCCACTTTTACTTTTACTCGTTCTGCTCATGAACGATGATCTGGTTTCACTTGGACTCCAACCAGGTAGTGCAACTGATGTTGCTTTTGATCGTCCAGGGACATTCTCTAGAATATCTTGGCAGCCCATAAGACGAACTTCCAAAGTACCTGTTAGCATAAACAAATATCAAATAAGAACACCAATTCTAAATACACATAATTTTATTGTTTATTCAGAAAGGGGGAGATTGATCTTCTAAGATAACAAAATCTCTTCTTTCAAAGCTTCAGACTAGTAACAGTCATCTTTCCTATTTTAGAGAAACTTATTGAAAAGTATTAATTAAGGCAACTATAAAGAATTTTATAGGAACAACAGTATCTCCTAAAAGCTGTCTGCAGGCATAAAACAAGTTACATAAACTTTTTGTATGTGAATATTCATTTCTATAACTACATGAGATAACATATGGAAAGAGAAACAAAGCTAGATAACATGCCTATTAAAATAAACATACAGAAATTAGAAACAAGAAAAACTTTGTCAATAACAGCCATGTTTAACAGGTAGATACAGAAAAGGATTTTTCTTTTTAACATAAATAACTGGGTTTCTATTCTACTTAAGAAGTAAACCATATCTTTACATTCTAATAGTTCATAATGTAATTCTAAACTATTATTTAGATAAACTGTTTAGATAATTATGAGTCATAATTATCTAGGCATAAAATAATTGTAGCTTCATTAGGCAAATAAATGTTAAAGGTATTCAAATGAAAATGAGGATAGTGAATTAGGTCATCTGAAGGTATGGTACTGTCATCATTTGGACTAGAAAATATACTAAAATTTTAAAATGGCACTTTCACTATTAAAAATATTACATGTTGCATATAGTAAAACACTTTAAGATTATTTCCTGGCAAAAGTTGTGCCAGTAAACTTTAACAATTTTATCTAAAGTTTTTAAATTAAAAGTAATCAAAGGACTTTTAACAAAATTAAAGGCCTAGATTTACTTCATAATTCAAACTAAAATATTCAGCCAAAATATAAACACAGAGTTGGGCCCTCCCTGGTGGCGCAGTGGGTTAAATCACAGCACTAAGAAGTTAAAGTCACTTCAGCATGAGTTAGATTCCGCTCGCCCCGGAGGTGACCACATGAAGTGGCAGACCTCTCCTAACCCGCCAACTGCTCCCCTCAGCAGTGTACTTCCTCAGTCGGCTTATTCTGCACACCACTTCTCTGGTGAATCTTCTCGCTGCCCCTGCACCTCTGGCCTTTACCCCAGTTCTGTATGCATAATCAATCTTTTAAAAAATTAAAATGTAAACATAAAGATACTGGCATCAGGCGATGAAAGCAATGACTTCTCATAGAGATTAGAAACAAATGAGATAAGCTGTAAGAGTGCTCCAGTGTATTACTTTTAGAAGAAAAAGGAAGCAGATTTTTAATTAAGTGAATTAAAAATATATACACATATACATGCTTACACAAAAGTGCATAACGAAGCTATCAGTAGCTATATAAGAAAAAGTACAAAAGTGAAACAAGATAAATATTAATCACAGGTTAAGTGAATAAAAAAATTATAGTGCAGCCACACAACTGAATACTATTATTAATAGTAAATCTAAATCAACTATATATGTCACATAAAACTTAAATAATTACGGCCCTCCCTGGTGGCGCAGCGAGTTAAAGCACTGCACTGAGAAGCTAAAGCCACTTCCACATGAGTTCGATTCCCGCCTGCCCCGGAGGAGACCACATGGCGTGGCAGACCTCTCCTGACCCGCTCGCTGCTCCCCTCAGCAGTGTACTTCGTCGATCTGCCTGCTCTGCTCCCCACTCTGTCTCTGGTGAAGCCTCTCGCCGCCCCTGAGCCTCTGGCCTGTACCCCAGCTCTGTATGTACAAATAAATAAATCTTTAAAAAAAAAAAAAAAACTTAAATAATTACTCTGCATCATAAAGATCAGATTTCTTGCACCTTAAGAAAAATGTATATACTGCACAATTCTATTTATGTAAAATACAGGTCAGTATTGCTTGGAGATGGTTGTGGAGAGGGTATGAAAAAATCAAAAAAGGGACTTTACAGAGGTACATGAGGACATATGGATGAATTCTATGGATGATATCTTTAACAATTATCTTGATTGTGGTGGTAGTTTCTCAACTATACATTTATGACAAAACTTCTCTAACTTATATATCATTTGTTGTATGTCAGTTATTATATCTCAGTAAAACTGTTCTAAAACTGAATATTGATTTTGGCACAACCATATATATTTATTAAAAGAATCATGAAAAAGGACACTTGAAATGGGTGAATTCTATGTAAATTATAATTTAATAACTAAAGAAGTGGAGAAAAAGCATCAATTTTACATTTTGGTAGGCCATGGAAATCTTATTTCACTGTAAAATATAAAGGCAGATTAAGTATAATAGATATCATTTTTAATTTCAAAAGAAACAACTTGTTGTGTTTGTGTGTCTGATTTGCCTTTTTTGTTGTTAAACTGGCAAACTTAGCTCATTTCCACTTTAAGTGCTCAGCTATAAAAGTCATCCTGGGGAAACTGAAAACATCTGGCCACTACTTCAAACCCTGGTAGCTTATTAAATATTTTAGTGATTTCAATATATTAGTAGATGACAATGCTCAACACCTGCTTTCATTTGGAAAAAAAAAATTCTGGAGAGACTTAAGATCTTTATTAAACATTTCGAGTTTCTTTCTTTTATGAGGTAACACAATTGCAATTGCATATAACCATATTAGTAATAGCTTAGAGTTACATCTTTTATTTTTATAGCTCACAATATGAAAATTTTAAAACAAGAAAATACAAAATGTAAATGTTTGTATTCATAAGCAAGAGATAGGAATTCCATCAGAACAAGTACATGCTTTTTTATTTCTTATAACTTTCTGGAAAAACTTTCATATCCACTTCGCTAATTTAGTATTTAATTTTGGTACAACTGTATAATACTTCTTAATTCTGAGGAAATTTTCTTTCATAAAAATTACTAATATCTCAATGTGGACCAAAAAATTTTAATACCTAAAATTTTAGATCAAAGCAGCAACAAATTTGCAAATTTCAATATTAATCACAAAGAAACCAGAGTATAAATTAGACAAATTCACACATGAAAGCATGCAACAAACATCTCAGGACAGTAGATGTTCCTACTACTTAATGATATTAATTCCACATCAAGATCAAGTTTAATGCTTTATTAATATCAATACTATTTTTAGTCCTACTCATATTTAGTTACTCCATATTCCTTTTAGAGTTGCTGACTTACATAATGTTGAGTACTGTTCAATAAAAGAATAAAGAATGGGGAAAGAGATTAAAAAGGAGTCCAAGAATTGAGGAAAGGAGACAAAATAGAAAAGGGAAAAAAATTTCAGCCACATACGCCAATTTTCTGACGAGTGGCTTTAATTATTTTTCTAGAAATATTGTTAATTTTTAAATATTTGAAAACCCTATTTTAAATCAGCGAATTATTCTGAGCCATAATATGGTAAGTAAATGGTTCACATCTAATCATCAAGTAACATTTACCAAGTATCTGTTGAATACATAACGTATTCAAGCTAGGAACTAGAATTATATATAGATAGAAAACAAGGGATTTTATACTCATAGGTATATAGTTCAGCTTGATTTCTTAAAAATACAGTTGTAACAGATAATAAAGCAAAGACAAAATAGTCACTGTACAATTAACTTAATTGTGATAGAAGAGAGTTCTATCACTGGAGAGTTATAGAAGATGTGGCTACAAAGATAGATATAAATCCTATAAACACAGAGTTTAGAGCGGAGGGTTCCAAGCTTTATCATTTCATGGTACCCCACTACTGTTTTTTAAACAAATTATTTACAGGCTCTCCCTGGAGGTGCTACAGGTTAAAGCACTGCATTATGAAGCTCTCTGAAGCCAATGCAGCACAAGTTCCATGCGCAACCAGGGAGCAGACCCACATGGCGTGGCAGACCTCTCCTGATCCACCCGCTGCTACCCTCAGCAGTGTACTCAATCTGCCTGTTCTGCTCCCCACTCTGTCTCTGGTAAGCTCTCTCACCCACCACACCTCTGACCTGTACCCCAGTTCTGTTAGAATAATAAATAAATCTTTAAAAAAAAAGTATTTACTTATTTGCATATATTTTACATCATTGTTCATATTTTTTAACAATGTTTGCTACCCCACTATCTTAATTCTTTCAATGTCCTTCTATCTTAAAATATATACCTAGCAATTCTGTTCATTCTGTACATGGAATCAGGTTGGAAACTACCACTTTATTTTCTATTCCACATTGAAGCCCAGCTTCATCAACATGTGACAATCTTGAAAAGAATGTTGTTTCACCTAAAGCTGAAATCTGGAGCTAGTAATTTGAGTGCTGCCTGCAGGAAGTAAAGTAATATTGAATTCCCCTCAAAAATTTAAATATCTTGATTTCCCCCAGTGAATTCATTTTGGCCTCTCAGAATATCTCAGAAGTCTAAAGGAACTCAAGCTGTCTACGATCATACCATCCTGAATGCGCCAAGAAACAGGAGCTCAACTTAGTAACTGTAGGTTTACAGTTATCCTAATAGCATAATTTAATTGTAAATGAAATGTCTTTTCAAGTTTTAATACGTAAGTCTGCCATAGAATAAAACTGATTAGTGGCACCTAATGCTAACTAGAATGTGAACAGTGGGCACTATGCAATTCTGAATACTTTCATAACTTCAAAATACTAATAGTTTTTAGGTAAATCTCTGGTTGATGTTCATAATAAGAAAAATCTAATGACCTGGGAATGAGAGAAATCTGTAACAAAGATATATCATATTGTAAGATCTTTGTGGCATTATAATTAACCTGTGCCTCATTCCCCCTTACTCCCACATACTTGGTGATGGTCTTGACCAAAGTTTACCTGTACTCCTGAAATAAATTCCTGGTACCTACGGAGGCAGATTGCATTCTCAAAGGACCACAGTTGCCTGCTTTGACTTGTCTAAGAGCTCCTTGAAAGACTACAAAGAGCTCAACTTTTTATACCTCTTCTCTCCAACTCAGTGTTATAACTGAAGTAGCTACATGAATATTACACAAATGTCAAACTAATAGCAGACAAAATAGACTTCAAATACAACATTACAGGAAACAAAGGACATTATAAATTATAAGAATATGCATTTAAAATAGAGCTCAAGTGGCCCTCCCTAGTGGCGCAGCGGGTTAAAGCACAGCACTAAGAGGCTTAAGCCACTTCCGCATGAGTTTGATTCCCGCCTGCCCCGGAGGTGACCACATGGCGTGGCAGACCTCTCCTGACCTGCCCACTGCTTCCCTCAGCAGTGTACTTCCTTGATCTGCCTGTTCTGCTCCCCACTCTGTCTCTGATGAAGCGTCTTGCCGCCCCTGAGCCTGTGGCCTGTACCCTAGTTCTGTATGCACAAATAAATCTTTAGAAAAAAAAAAAAAGAAAAAACAGAGCTCAAGAATATATGAAGCAAAAACTTTATAACGAAGAGACAATTTTTCTGGACTTTCGGACCCTCCCTCGTGGCACAAGGGGTTAAAGTGCAGCATTATGAAGCTATCTGTGACTACTGCAGCATGAGTCTGATCCCTAAGCAGGGAGGTGACCTACATGGCATAGTAGACTTCTCCTGTCTTGCTCCCTGCTCCCCTCAGCAGTGTATTTCAATCAATCTGTATGTTCTGCTCCCTACTCCGTCTCTGGTGAATCCTCTCACACCTCACAACTTTGGTCTGTATCCCAGCTCTGTATACATAAATAAATAAAGCTTTAAAAAATATCTACACTTTCCTACTTTCAGTCATGGACACACTAGGGTGTATGCATTATTTAATAATAATTAAAAAAAAAGGAAAAACAAAAATGTAGAGTAGGATGTGGAGAAATTGCAATCTTCATACACTGCTGTTGGGAGCATAAAATGATACATTAGCTATGGAAAAGTTTGTCAGGTTTTCTAAAAATAAATAGTGATTATATAGTCACACACCATATAATGATGTTTCAGTTAAGACCATACATACACACACACATACACACATACTCTATATAGCCTAGGTGTATAGTAGGCTGTAAGATTTAAATTTGTGTAGGTAACACATTATTGGGTATTTCCCAATAATGAAATCAACCTACTATGATTCTCAGAAAACAGCTGTAAAAACCTCAAGTAAAAACCTGCAAATATAGCAACACTATTCATAATAGTGAAAATATTTCAAAAGTCCATCAATAGATATATAAATAAAATTTAATATGCATTTATACAATGCTGTATTTTTTAGCCATAAAAAGGAATGAAATACTAATACACTATATGAAAAATAAGTCTCAAAAACAATATGTGAAGTGAAAGATGTCTGACAGAAAATGACAAATTATTAACTCCATGGATAGAAAATATCTAGAATAGACAAACCTGTAGAGACAGTCAAAAGTGGTGCTAGAGGGTAAGGGGTAAGATTAGAGTGTGACTACTTTATGGATGTGGGGTTTACTTTTAAAAGGGTGTTGAAATTGCTTGAGCTAGATAGTTGTGATAGACATACAACATTGTAAGGATACTAAATGTCTCTAAATCATATACTTCAAAATGTTTAAAATAATATACCTTGTTTTGTGTGTTTTACCATAATATTTTAAAATTCTGTGCATACTTTTAAAATCATTCATGAAACCAAGACTAGGTAAAGTCAAAATGCATGCATAATAACAAGCTACAAACCTGTTAGTGCTGCTGGTTTGGAGAGTGTACTGTATTGGTTTTGTGTAGATATCATACTTTGACGTGGACTTAGTGTTGGTGATGCAACAAGTGAAAGCTCCTCAATAATAATACTGCTTTTGGGATGATTCTTAGGAAGTTCATTTAATCTTTGCTCTAAGGAATACTTTAAAAGATCCAATTTCTGACTGGATTCATTAAATCTTGCTTGAGCCTTGAAAGGGCAAAAGATAATTGTTATCATTTAAATTAATTACATTTTTTGAATAATATATTCATTAAGTTAAAAGTTTTCTTTAAAATTACTTCAGAAAGTGCTTTTCTGTCTGTTACTTTTCCTGAGCCAAGTAATTTCATTACATTCTTTGCACCTTCTGCTACTGCAAACTCTATCCTAAAGTGATGCCTTAGTTCTTCCATCCGAAGTTCAAGAGGACTTATGACAGGTTTTGCTGGAGGAAGAAAAATAAAAAAAAATGAGCCATATATTTGACTGTCTAACATGTAGAAATTAAAACTTATGAAAACAAAGTGCAGTGTCTACATTAAAATAAGTTAACCCTTAAGTAAATAAGTAACACTGAATAGAAACAATGTTGAAATTCAGAGCCTTCCATTTTAGCCATCAAAACTCAAGAATAAAAACTGAACATAAAAATATGCCTCTTCTGGGCCCTCCCTGGTGGTGCTGCGGGTTAAAGCCACTTCAGCATGAGTTTGATCCTTGGCCCCGGAGGTGACACATATGGCGTGGCTGACCCGCCTGCTGCTCCCTTCAGCAATGTACTTCTCAGTTGGTCTGTTCTGCTCCCTACTCTGTCTCTGGAGAACCCTCTCACTGCCCCCGCACCTCTGGCCTGTACCCCAGCTCTGTATGCCTAAATAAATAAATATTTTAAAAAATTCCTCTTCCTCCTTAATTCTGAGCCACTGCTTCTTTCCTAGACTATAGCATTCTGTGCCCATTATAAGAATAATGACAATTTATCTCTATTTTATCACCATTATCAAAAGCCAATTCATTGGTCTGGACTGCCTGAAGAATCTGCATTCGTATGACTTCTATTTTTGTCTTGCTGTCCTGAAGTAGTTGGTGAGCTGTGCCATGCAGTTTCCGATCCTATTAGAAAGAAGTTTGAAAGGGTAAACAGTTTCTCAATAAGATCAAATGATAAATGAGCAAATGGAAATCATAGTTATAAAAGAACGCAGCAAGCACAGCAATACATATATTCCTATAGATAAACTTATTTTAAAAAGTCACCAAACAGATAGGGTAATAAGGAAAAATAACTCCCATATAGATTTCCCTTGCTATCTGAAAGTAGAACATTCCTATTTAGTATGACTTAATAGATTATTTTGGAGCTCTGAGAATGCTATTACAATTAATTTCATATGGTTTTTTTTTTGTGCATATGGGAAACCTATAGTTAAGGTAATTTGAAAAGAATTTTATTACTGTTCAAAAGAATTCAAATTACTTTCTGCAAATTGTTTTTGTTTATTTACATAAAGCAGCACTCACATATCCTAGAGCAATGTAAGTGGCCACATATCCTAGAGCAATGTAAGTGGCATACAGCTCAGTGTACTCAATATTTTAGATAATCTCTTCTGTTATATTTCACTTACATTTCTATGAAGCTTCAAATATGTAGGCAATTTTTAAAAATAGCTAATCACAGATAATACCTGTGTTCCCTTAAATTCTGATAAAAGAACCTACAATCAGCAATTATCAACACTAATGGTTACACTAGGGAGGAAAGCAGAGTGAATAAGCATCTGTCATCTGTTAAGACTTCAAGAAAAGTCCTGAATAAAGTGAAATGAAAGAAAGATTTGTAAAATACTTGGGAGAAGAAATGTCTAGGCAGAAACAGTAAATGAAAGGCCCAGAAGTAAGAGTGTGCTTAGTATGTTCAAGGGATAGCAAAGAAGCCAATATAGCTGGAGGGTAACAAAAGAGAATGAAAGCATTTTAGAAGATCAAAAGGTATCCAAGAGTAAATCATGTATGAACTTGCAGTCTCACAGTAAGAAATCTGGATTTTGTTGTAAGAAAGCTAGAAAGTCACTAGAGGGTTTTGAACAGGAATGTGAAAATATTTGACTTACACTTTTTGAAAGGACTACTCTGTCTTAAGATGTCCCAGAATAATAATTTTGTAATTCAGAATCCAATAACCAGATTTCTAAAGATAATTGTTCAGTGCAAAACTGAATAAATTATTCCTGTCCTGACATTTGCTCCACATGCAGTAAATTACCTATCATTGTAAGGACTTCAATATTTATAGTCTGACTATAATCAATATGAATCATCTTCAACTCTTCCTACTACCTCACATCCAGCCCACAGACTTATTCTAAGTACATAGCTTGATTCTTTGTTGTTTTCACCACTGTTACAGGAAATGAAGCATGTTTAACCTGGATTACCCCAAGAGTCTACTTAAACTTGCAGCCTGTAAGACTTGACCCTCTTTAATTAATACTTCAAGTCTGAGGAAGATAGATGTGAACTTTCTAAACTTTAAATCTTATCATGTATTTTCTCTGCTAAGAAGTCTTTCAGCAGCCCCATTTGTCTTATAAGATAGAATCTCAACTGTTTCATTTGGTCCAAAGTACTTTATAATCTAGTTTTTTTCACTTATGCTACACCTTACCCAATTAAAGTTCTACCCGCTGTGAACAGGGAGAAAAAAAATCCTGTTGGAATCATCTGAAGGATTTTTCCAAATTAAAATGTGCCTTCCTAGAGGTTTAGATTTGTTCTCCAATGAAGGCATGACCTTTCATTAACAATGACTGTTAACAGCTCTGACTGTTATTGTTAGGAAGGCAATTCACTTACCCTCAGATAAGTTATATAAGAAAAAAACTGAGTATTTTTGTGAGAGTCATTTGAAAGCACTTGCATTTCTAAGGAAAAGCCACACGATTCCACTAGCTTATCCTGTACATACTTGATTCACCCACAGGACCATCCCTAGAAAGTAATTCCTTAAACTACATTTCCATCTAATCTTACACTAAGATTTTAATGTTTTCTTTTACCATCTAAGTGATTCATCACCTTTGTGCTTTCAAAATAAATTAAGCCATCCCTATTACATATTGTAATTAACATGCATGTAGTATGTTTTTAGATACAGATTTCTTGAAAATAAGATTTCTTATAATATGTATAAGAAAAGATCTTTATTATATCCATACACCAGAACCCAGCATAATGGCTCCCAAACTGTTAAGTTCTTAATGAATAAACTAAGTAACATCCTATATAACCTCAACTTAAAATATTCCTGCATCTTGAGAAGAAACACTTTGACCCTTTGAGAGGTTCAGAGATGAAAAACAAAAGTAGTTAAGACTAAACCTAAACCTAAATAACAGTAACTGGCAAGAAACCTAAACCTAAACAACAATAATTGGCAAGCCTACCTTAGAGACTATGGCAGCTGTCAGTATGCTCTGGACCTCCATATGACTCCCTTTTCAGATTAATTAATTTCCTAATTAAAAATAAAAGGCTATGGGAAAATTATCCACTGTTTTACAAGTTTCTCACTGACCTTTCAATTTAGACATGTATTTGTGGTAATTATTTTTTTTACTTTTAGTATGTCTAAAACCTATTCAGTTTTGTGCGCTGGTTACGAACCACATTGAGAATCCAATGAAACATGGTCCTCTGGTTCTGATTCATTCATTGAAGGTTCAACAATGTCTCAATTTAACCCAACTACCCTAGATTAAAAACCTTTATTCCAGTAGGTGGTTTACTAGGTTGGTTAAATTTAAAAACATTCAGCATAATATAATGCAGTTACATAAAAATATAGTCTTGCCCTCCAAAACCAAGTTCAAATAAAATTTAATAAAAGATGAAAAATCTCCAAAATTAAAGGTCAGTACTGAACGCTAAGAACTGTAACAAAAAATACCAACTCTATAGCTCCATAATAAATGGTCAAAGTTAGTGAAATACTGTTAGTATCATACCATATAATTAATGTATCATGTAGGAACAAATATATTTATATTAATATTTAAAAATGCCTTTGAATATGACACAAAGATGCTTTTCTATCTTTTTACATTTCCCCTAATTTCAAATGGATGGACAGGTAATATAAATAACTGAGTGAAATTCCACCTCTCATTTTCAAATTACACGTAAATTTAAAACAAAAGCAAAAAAACTAATGATTTTATTTTGAATTTTTTAAATAATTATCTATTAAAATATGGGAAAAACCCATTGATCCGCAGAGGCAAACATCTTTAAAATAAATGAGCTGAGAATTGAAAATATCCTTTTGGAAAATTTTAAAACTATAGAACTAAAATAGGAAAGAAGTTTCAAGATAATCTACTTTAGTGGTTCCTGATTTTCTTTCTCCCATAATAACCCATTAGTAACACTTCTCCCTTATAACACCAGACCCCTCCAGAATTTACAGATCTAGTCCATACAGTCATTTATGCTAGAACATCCTGATGTTTCATTAAAACTTGTATATGGTAATAAGAAACTCCTTAAAATCTAGTATTTTAAAAAATTTTAAATTTTCACAAAAGTTTCAAGTAGAGTACTGTATACCCAATATTTATAAACAAATTTTCTATTAATTTGTTTTGTTAGAAATAAGCAAATTTTAAAATATTAATTAAAAAACCATTTGATTTCAACTTGTTATGCTGTTGATACTTTCATACTTATAGAATAATATAAGTATATACATTCTTATACATGCCTACTAAATATAGTTGTTTGAATGGGAAAATTTTCAAAAGGAAAAAATGCAAAAAAGTGTGTCAGCTTAAACAAGACAACAGAATGACACCTGACCTGACATCAGTTGTGAACATACACATGAAAAGATGTTTCTATACCTCTATGTATGTCAACAAATGACTCTGAAAATGCCAGAAGTACAAATTAGGGTTACAAATAAATTGTACTAAGTAAATTCTTAAATACTGAATCTGTAAATGAGCACTGACTATATACACTTATATTTACTCACTGTACTTACCTTTGAAGAACCATTTGAATACATCTGTATCATGTTCTCTGCACCTTGTTTTACTTTAAGCTCTATATCCAATTGCTTCTGCAAGGCCATCAATCTATTATTGCTAGTGGAACAACGAGGGTCACTACTAGGAGTATCTGGAGTCCGTGGGCAATCTGTGAACAGTAAGCTAAAATTAGTTACTAGGATCAATTGCTGCCTAAAGTTAGAAGTTAATTATTTTCAAAGAATAAAGACTTAATAGTGTTTGAGAAGAGCTTGAAGTCACCAATAGAATCTCCTGTGCTTCCTGATAATATAAGTATTGAAATCAAGAAATTAGTCAAGTAAAGTTGTAGGATAGAGGTGACCGCATAGAGCCTGAAACTAAATTGCATTACTGCCCAAAGTTTCCCCAACACTGCTACAATAAGTCAAATCAATCTTGACTAGTCAAATCAATAATTAAACTAAATTCCTTACTTACTGATTAGAGAACAAAGCATAATAAAATATACAAATTCCAAAGATACTGTGTTACATGAACAAGTTACTCAGTCTTAGTCTCTCCTATGTATACAGGAGGTACATGTATCATTAAACTTCTCAAGGCTTTTTTCTCTTACCAAAAATAAAAACTGTGTTGCTTCTGTTTAAAAAAAAATGAAACCAAATTTTCAAATAGAAGCCTTAATTATTGTAATTGATTCTTATTCAAACAATTCTAATAATTCTCCCAGGTAACTAAAATTCCTCACAACTGAAGTTACTTACTGTTTTATGCACACTGGGTGCCTTCTTGATTAGAAACAAACAACTCCTGACTGAAATTCTAGACATAATTTAGTTAGAAGTAACTTAGCAATCACTGGAAAACTGCCTAAACTGTAAGATAATTAATGCTTGTGTTTCAATGTTCCCTTCTCTACAATACATTGCTAACTGATTGAAACGAATGTTTCATATTTAATTTTATACTCCTTTTAAAAAAATCCACTAGTTTAAAAATATTTAAACATTATCTTCTAATTAACTTACAAAAGTAGGTACTAAGCTAAATAATGATATAAAACATTATTTTATCATTTATGTTACTGTGAAATGCATATTAAATATATATTTACATATCATTTGGTGTAAAGTCCTGATATAAATGCTTTTAAACTCATAAATCCTAACAAACAGTACAAGGGGTATTATATTTATATTATAGGAAAGAAGATTCAGGCACTGAGATGTAACAACATTGTTTTGTCTAAGGTCATGCAATTAGTTCCATTCCAAAATCTACCATATTATTTTATATGTTGTCTCTTTGCCACAAAAAGCCTTGTAAACAAGTTGAGTGCATAACTTCATATATAATTACTATGCACACACACACAGAAATGTATATGCCTATCATACATATCAGACATTACCCACAACTTATCTGCCAGAAAATAGATAAAGCCAAACATTTAGCTGAGATCCAAGACAGCTTTTTACTGCAGTTAAACCCACAAATTATAAATATGTATAAATAAGCTGCTCTCAAAGTTGATTTTAGAAATAACATTCTTACAAAAAAAAGACATAAAAGGTAGATAAGTTTTCAGATCAGGCTTATAAAAAGCACTTAACATATTACTATGTATGGAATTTTTTTTGGTCTTGTTTTATACAGCTTTTCTTTTTTTGCTCAATTTAGAAATTAGAAAAACATTTTCTGTCTCCCTCTACCTTACCTATTTTCCCTATTAATGTGCTTTTCCAATTTGCTAATTTTCTTCTTACCAGTTTTCTCCGTAAAGGTTAGGGTGAGTTACAATATTATAAAATATAACATTGTTGATTGTCAATAAGGGACTGATCAAAGAGCTCACAGAACTCAAAAAATAAAAACCAAAGTAAACAACCCAGTCAAAAAATGTGCAGAATTAAAAAGACACCTCTCCAAAGAGGAAATGTAAATGGCCAACAGGTATTGAAAAAAATGCTCAACATCACTTATAATCAGAGAAATGCAAATCAAACCCACAAAGAGATACCATCTCACATCAATGAGAATGGCTCATATTAAGAAAACTGACAATAAATGCTGGTGAGGATGTGGGGAAAATGGAACTCTCTTCCACTGCTGGTGGGAATGCAAACTGGTTCAAACACTATGAAAAGCTGTGTGGAAGACCCTCAAAATACTAAAACTGGGTCTGCCATATGATGCAATGATTCTACTCCTAGGAATCTACCCAATGGACAAAAATATTAGTTCCAGAAGAAACTTACACACATGTTTCTTGCAGCACTATTAATAATAGTGAAGATATGAAAACAAACTAAGTGCCCAAAAAAACAGTTGAACAGATCAAAATGTGATATACATACACAATGGAATACTATTCAGCAATCAAAAAAATAAACTCATGCTACTTGCAGAAACATGAAACCAGATGGGATTACACTTAATAAGTCAGAAGGAGAAAGGAAAATATCAGATGGATTCACTTATAGGAAGAATATAGAGAAACTGGACAAAAGATAAAAAAAAAAGAGAGAGAGACAAAACTTGCAGTCAAACTATAGGTCTAATAGGTCTGAAGCATACAGCAGGGGAGGGGAAGGAAGATAGATCAAAACAGGGAAGGGGAAAACACAAAGGATTACAGTGACAGTTCACAGGTAATATGACAGGGGGATATTTATGGGCCTACACATGAGTGGAGAAATAAAATAGTGTGCAAAAATAAACAACAATGTAAGAAAATAAAGTCTTAAAAACTAAAACATAGCTGTCAGTAAATTTTTTAAATATCTGTCTTTATAGCAAAACATTTCAAAGAGTAATACCTAGTTTCCCCATTAATGTGCTTTGTACACAAAAAGCAATTTAAAAAAATCACTTAAATAAAATGATACTACTTATCAAGCTAAGAACTAAAAATTACAAGACCAAATGCTGAATTATTTAAGTAATCCTTTATCGATTAATAAACTACACTCCATGATTAAAACTAATTACATTACCTCCATCTGTTATATTTATTGCTATAATTACCAAACTCAGTTTGGAGGTAATGGGGGAAGATTACTTCAACATCTCCTCATGCTTCTAACCTTCTAAACATTACCATAAAATTTAAAATGTAAGCTATACAAATTTAATCAAAAAGTTTTAATGTGATATTTATATATTAGATGAAAGAGATGCCCTCAACCCTGCCAAAAGTCCTACTTTTCATTTAAGGTGTCACACTAACTACTCCAACCTAACTTCCCACTACTGTTTTTTTTTTAATCAAAGTCTATATTTAGTTAATAATATACAACTCTTTCTTTTTTATCTCTGAAAAATACAATGTTTGCCTTCATAGTAGTGATAACTACACTTATTCATTAATTTCTTCCAGGGAACATTTTCTACTCATCCTTCAATCTGATCAGTGCCCTTTCTAATGTGTCTTCAAATTATTTTTATTTTCTTCTATGTATTAAAAATGTACAGTGATCGGGCCCTCTCTGGTGGCACAACGGGTTAAGATGCAATACTGCAAGCTAGCCACAGCTGCTTCAATGCAGTTCAATTCCTGGCCCAGAGGTTACCCACAGGGTGCAACAGACCTCTGCAGTCTTGCCCGCTGTTCCCTCACCAGTATACTTCGTCAGTCGGCCTGCTGACTGCTCCCCACTCTGTCTCCGGTGACTCTTGCACCGCTCCTGCACTTCTAGCCTATATCCCAGTTTTGTATGCTTAAATAATCTTAAAAAAAAAATTTTAAAAAAAAAAAAGTGAAGTGATCTATTTTCATGTCTGTATTGCCTCTAAAACTATAAATACAGGAGTGGTGGACCTTGATCTTCACTATTTTTACAGACACTAAGGTATAGAAAAATAGAGTTTCAAAGGAGTGTGTAGGCTGAAAATAAGAGGCTAGAAACAGGACATTACATTTTAAAAACTTGACCAATACAGGGTTATAGAACATGCTCATTAAATTTCAAGAACTATAGTGTATTTAATTAATCAACCAATAAAGGAAAATTAGAAAATCTTCATGTGTTTAATAACTAAAAAATACACCTTTAAGTAACTCATGGGATGACAAAGACATTGGAAAATATCTCAAAGTGAGTAACTAAAATTATAGGTGAAATCAGCATCAGAATACTAACATTGTTCTTCTCTTTCATTTTTCCTTTTCTAACAATGAATAAGAGTGCCTTTCTGGGGTTTGTGCTATCCAGAATTATATACCAGGGAACCAGGGAACAGTCTCAAGCACTTTAGTATCCAGTAGTAGGTAAGCAAGATTCAGTAACTTAAACACTTAAATATAAGACCTGGCACCAAAAAACGAGAAGAAATATGTAGGGGAGAAGCCATTAACACTAAACTTAGCCGTGATTTGTGTGTGTGTGTGTGTGTGTGTGTGTGTGTATAACACCAAAAGCAAAACAAAACATCACAAGTTAGATAATATCATACTAAAAAGCTTTTCTGTACAGTAAAAGAAGCAACAAATGAAAAGGCAACCTAGAGGAAAGAATATTTGCAAACATTAAAAGACCTCAAATGACTCAAAACAACAAAAAGACAGTTTGATGAAAAAATGGGCAAAGAATTCATAAATTAACATTTTCCCCAAAACATCCAAATGGTGACTAGGTGCATGAAAAATACTGAAATCACATAATATCAGAATATCAGCACAACAAAAATCAAAAACATATAAGATACAACCTCACATTTGTTAGAAGAAGAAAGACAATAACAAGCATTGGGATAAAGGATACTGTTGCCGAGAATGCATTGATAAATTCCTCAAAAAAATTAATAACATATGTATAATACGGTATAGCAATTCCCCTCCTGGATATATATCCAAAGCAGCATTATTCACAATAACCAAGATATGCAAACAACCTAGGTCCTCCTTCAGAAATGAATAGAGGTGAAATATGTCTGTGTGTATGTGTACATATATATACAAGTGGATTATTCTATTATCAGAAACAAGGAAATTCTGCTATGTATAACTACACTGAGAGATCTTGAAGGCATTAAGTAAGACAGAGAAAGACAAACAATACATGATAGTAACTGTACATGCAATCTGAAAACAATTTTATATATACATGGGGTAGAATGGTGGTTGGTTACTAGTAGCTAGGGGCTAGAGGAAATCAGGTTATTTAA